GACCCAGGCCCCACTCTTTCCTAACCTGGCACTGCGGCAGGTGCTGTGATGAACTTCTGCTCCTGGGGGAATTCTGCACCACGGGGCAGGCAGAGAATTTTTTTCGCCACAGAAAATACATTCTGCCCAGAAGTGCTGCAGTTCCGCCTTTTTCCCACCAGGGGCCACTGTGGCGCCAGAACAGCCGGCTCCGTTCATGCTGGTGGCTGCTCTGGTGCCACAGCGTCCTCTGGTGGGGAAAAGGCAGAACTGCAGAACTTTTGGGGCAAAATGTATTTTCTGTGGGGAAAAAACAAAATTATGCAGGACAGGTGAATTCTGCAACTGGCCTGGAGTTTCCAGGAATTATAGATTAATCTTTAATTAAAGATGATGTCATCTGATGAAATCTCCAGGAATACAGGGAGCTACAGCTGCCAATATAGCACCAAATCAGACCAGCCCATTTGGTTGCATTCCAGCTACCCCGTGGAGCTGGTGGTAGCAGATGAGGGGCCTGGCTCAGCATGCCTGCTCCCAGCCCCACACCCAGCCAGACCCACAGGGAGGCTATGTGTTGATGGGATGCTCAGAGCCAGGCTCTGCCCTTAGCCCTGGGGCAAACTGGAGGGGGGGGGGGTTCCCAGACAGGGGAGAGCAGCAGGTACTGGAGTTTCAGGGCTGAGGGAAGGGGGATTCCAGCCCCCAGAGAGAGCTGCAGAAAAGGGGGCCTTTCCCAGGAGGAAGCTTCCCCAGGTGCCCCTGCTCTGGGGACGCACAGAGGAGTCGGGGTCGAGGGGATCCTGAGTTGGCATCTTCCCCAGCGCTGGGTCGGGTACATCAGCTGATTGGTATTTATGGGTCATGTAGATCTCTGCTCTGGGTTGTGGTTCTGTTTGGACCAGCAGTGGTGAGACCTCACCCCTAGGACATTGGGTGGGAGAGATCGCAACTCCCCGGGGCAGGAGAGAGGTAGGTGAGCAGCAGTCCCAGGCTGGGGCAGTGAGGGGAGCAGGGCGCACCCCTCCTCGCTGGTGGGGGTGGGTTGCTCTGGGTAGCCCAATTCCGGGGGGCCGGGATACAGGAACTCGGTGCAAACTGTGGGATCCCAGTGTGGGAAGCTGTGAGACCCCAGGGACTGGGTCGAGGTCGGTGTTTCAAATCTGTTTCCTTCTGAGTGCAGAGACATACCCCAAACCCGCCATCTCCCTGAGCCCCAGCGGGGTGACCGCCCTGGGGCAGGATGTCACCGTTCGGGGTCAGGCTGGTCACCGGGATGCCAGGTTCTCTCTGTTTAAGGTCAGGGATTGGACCCCGCTGGGACGCGCAAAGCCTGCTGGGGCTGGCGGGGAATTTCTCATCCACAGCGTGAGTCGGGGAGACGGAGGGAGCTACACCTGCTATTATCACAACAGATCCCTTCACTGGGTTGGAGCCCAGTGGCCCCGAGGAGCTGGTGATAGCAGGTGAGGGGCTCGACTCGGTGTCCAGAACCCCACGCTCAGCCAGACCCTCGGGGGGACTCAGCGCTCATGGGACTCTCAGAGTCAGGCTCTGCCCTGAGCCCTGGGATCGGCAGAGGGGGCGCCCGGCTGGGGAGTTGGGACACAGTCAGCAGGGGACCCCAGCCAGGGAGGAACCACAGCTGCTGGAGGTTTGGGGCTGAGGGAAGGGAGAACCCTGCCCTCAGGGGGAGCTGCAGACCAGGGGGCCTTCCCTGGGGATACTCCCCCAGGCTGCCCCCCATTCAGGGGAAGCACAGAGGAGTCGAGGCCCAGGGGCTGCCCCGCCATCACTGTCCCAGCTACATAAATCCCCCCCCCACACACACCTGGGAAAGACCCTGATGTTTGATGCTGAGTCACAAGGGGGAGAAAAGGGGAACCCTGAGTCGCTGTTTCAGCCCCTCCCCCCACCACTGACAGAGGCTGGTTCTATTCCCGCAGGGGGAACTGACCTGGCCCAGCCTGAACCAGCAACGGCTCCCATGCACCTGGGCAGCCCGGGGATAGGTACTGGGGCCAGGGGGGAATCTATTGAGTCAGAGATTATGGGGCAGCTTCCCCCAGTGTTTGCTCAGGGGGAGGGACTGAGGCTGTTCTCGGGGGCAGTGACTCCCCCCACTGACGGATTTGGAAGGGGAGCGAAGCCTTCTGCTCAGACATGAACCTGCCACTAATGGGGCAGCCAAAGGCTTGCTCCCAGGGCAGCTGGGCCCATCAGTGGCCACAGGGGAGGTAGGGAACAGGGCCTGGGCCGGCCTGAGAAGCAGCCAGGAGCAGCCAGCATGGGAGGCGGGATACCGAGCTAGATGGGCCCGTTGTCTGGAGATGGTGCGACCAGGCCTGACTGGTGCCATGGCACTGTAGGGAGGGAATGGAAATGACAGCCAGGCTGGATCAGACAGCGCCCCCTAGTGCTGCGCTGGGGTAGTGGGGCCAGCCCCTACTGCCAGGGGAAAGCGTCCCCTACCGAGCTCCCTGCCCGGCTGCCCAGAGCCCCCTGGTGCTATGTATCACTCAGAACTTGCTTGCTCTGACTCCACTTGAAGTTGGGTGTGGGGTTCTGCTCTGGGCCGGCCGGGGGTGCAGGTCAGCGGGTGTCTCTGTTCCACTGATGCCTCCATTGATGAAGGGAAAGAGCTGCAGACCCTGGTAAGTGTCCCCTGTTCCCTGATGGGGCCTGACCCCCAACCTTGAACTGCATGGACACCAGGAGCACCCTCACAGCCCCCCCCCCCAGCCCTGGCACACTCATTGGTTGGGGTGGGGTCAGGCTATTGGGAGGGGGGTGGACTTATGGGGTCACCAGCTGGGATTGCAGGGTGTGTGGGTGTCCCCATGCCCCCTGCTGGAGGTGATGGGCCCGCTCTGTGTGTGGGGTGGGCGGCGGTGTTTGATGTATGCGCGCACACACACACACACACACACACACACACACACCCCAGTGACTCTTTCCCCTCCCAGCCCTAGGAGCCCTACCTCAGCGCTGACAGATTCACCTACGCAGAGCTGGATGGCCAGGCGCTGGAGGCCAAGCGGGGGGGCCCAGCCCCTGCCCCTGAGCCCACCCAGCCTCAGCGTGACAGCCCCCCGCAGCCATGGGGCACTGGCCCCCAGGGGGCAACAGACTCACCCCCTGCAGTGCCAGCCCCAGAGAACTCTGCTTCCAGGGAAGATTTAGGGGGGACGCTGCCCTCCCCCCACTGCAGCCCCTTCCCATCGAGCTGCTGTCCCCGTGCCCCACTCAGACCCATATGTGAGGGGCAAGAGGGCTCAGCACCGGGATGGGGAGGGGATGCATCGAGGCAGCTTTGCATCCTGTTAACCTCCAGATTTGTAATAAACACAGAACCCGAAACAAGCCGCCCAACCCCCCGGGAAGCCCCAGCCCCCCATCCCGGAACCAGGAGTGTGTGTCACACCTGGAGGAGATAGGATCGCTCGGGGAGGGGTGGTCCTGCTCTAGCCACTAGACCCCACTCCTGTCCCAGAGCTGGATAATATTATTGGGTATCTGCTGGGGAATCAGGTTTACTCTGAGTTTCACTGGCAGTAGCAGAATGAGCAAGCGAGCGTCAGCTCTGGGCACACTTCCCCTTTTCTCGCATTTTTTGGCTGCTGCTTTAGCAATTTAGGATCTAAATTTATCCACCCCCCCGTCCGATTACGGGGGCTGGAAACCACAACCCCACCCCCACCCCTCTGTCCCGTCCCTGTCTCACACCACTGCGCTAACAATAGCATCTGCAGCAATGCTACCTGAGAAGGAAGTTGGGCAGGTCCCTCCATCCTCATGCTTCAGGCTGGGCGCTGGGCCCAGCTGGGTCAGGAAGAAATCTCTGCCCCGCTCCATGGGAGAGGGTCGCTCTGTGGGGGGCACTGTGTGTGTGTGTGGGAGCCCTCCTCTGCTCTGAGCTGCTGCTCCAGGGAGGCTAGACGGGCCTGTTGGAAAAGGTCAGGTCAACCTGAGTCTGGGCACTTCTTGATGGCTCCTGACTTTCCTCCTTTCCCAGCTGGTCCCTGGACTGGGCAGCTCCCATGTGGGGTTGGGAGGTGATGGTGAGAGCTGGGATTGGGCACCTGCAGGAGGGGATGTGGTTTGATGGGCGTTGCAGGGATCTGGCTTTGCTCTGAGCATGGTAGATTTCAGCTGGAGATTGCAGAGAAACCATCTTTTGGGGAAGAAAGGGGCCGAGCGCATCACGGGCTTCCTGGGGCTGCAGCCCCCGGCGCAGTTCCTCATTCCGCTCGCACTTGGGACTCAGGTTTAGTGGAGCTCAGCACTGGGGCGTTGGTGGCAGCACTGAGGGGCCCCCCACTGCCCCGTCATGGTGTCTGCTCTCACCGTCCTCCTCCTTGGTGAGTATCAGAGACAGCCAAGGCCGTGTGTCCATAAGAGGGAATCTGAGACCAGGGCGTGTCCATAGGGAGGGGGGCGGATCTGAGACCAGGGTGTGTGCCCATATCGGGGGATCTGAGACCAGGGTGTAGGATCCAGTTGCTCTGGGATCTGGTCCCTAATGACCCGACTCCTTTCCAGGCTGCTGGCTGGCCAGGCGGAGCGGGGTGTTCGGAGGTGAGTATCTGTGGGGAATGGGGCAGCTGAGGGAATTTCTGCATTAAGCGCGAGGGATGTGGGTCGGAGGTAGAGTGACAAGATGTCCTGATTTTATAGGGACAGACCTGATTTTTGGGTCTTTTTCTTATATAGGCTCCTATTATCCCCCACCCCATCCCAATTTTTCACACTTGCTGTCTGGTTACCCTAGTTGCAGCTGAGGGGCGAAGATCCCCCAAGGGATGATTCTGTCAGACCCCTGCTCCCTCCCACACCCAGAGGTGGGGACTGAGACCTTGCCCCCTTCATTACAGGGATGGGCACCACACAGGTGAATTCGCCTGCACTCAAAGCTCTGCCCCCAGGAAATACAGAGAGAAGGCACCAGTCATCCCGCAGTGCCCCCACAGCAGGATAGAATCAGAAGGACATGGTTTGTGTCACCCCCCACTCACTGCCTGTTTGTTTGTGAATCCAGAGGGGTCCTACCCCAAACCCTCCATCTCCGTCAGCCCCGGTGGGGTGATCCCCATGGGGGGAAATGTCACCATCTGGTGTTGGCATCAGCACCTGGGCATGAGGATCCTCCTCTACAAGGCTGGAGACGGGAACTATCTGACTCACACAGACCCTGCTGGCTCTGAGGCTGAATTTCCCATCACCAGCGCCAGACGGGAACACGGTGGCAGCTACACCTGTCGCTATAGCAACAGAACAGTACGAGCTGCCTACTCGGAGCCCAGCGACCCTGTGCAGATCATTGTAGCAGGTGAGTGGCTGAGCCCGGCATTTCAGCTCCCAGCCCCACATGCAGCTAGAGGGGACGCCGGGCTGGGGAGCAGGGACACAGTCCCTGGGGGGTTCCCCAGCCAGGGGGGAGCAGCCTTCTACCCTGCACATGGTCTGATGCTGCCCTGGTCAACATGGTGTCGGGCACCTGCCAGTCGAGCATTAAGCGACGCGACCCCATCTGTCACAGGCGGGCCGTTCTCTCTCATCCTCTCCCTGGGGGAGATCTGTGTCCACCGCGGAGGGTCTGGTCTGGGGCGGTTTGGGGGCATCAATGGCCGCGCTGCACAGGGTCAATAATGGAGCAGTCTGGATGGGGCAGGGCACTGGTCTTGGAGCCGGAGGTGGGGAGGTTTGGGGGGCCCTTGGCTGCTGGGGGAGCTCGTTCTGCAGCCTGGGCCTGGCCCCGGAGGAAGTTCTGTCCCCTGCCCAGACGAACGTGAACCTGATTGTGGCCGGGCTGGAGGCAGGGAGCCGTCACCCCGGGGTCACCCCAGAGCTGTGGGCTGTTGTCGGGTATCTGCCCTGGAGCTGGGGGCCGGCGTGCGGCACCCGGGCCAGCTCTGATGGAGCTTAAAATAGCAATGGAGCCATGGCCGGGCAGAACTAGCTGCTCGCGTGTGCACCCGGTGCCCTGGGTGGCTTGTCCTCGAGCTTGTCCACGCACCCGGCACTCGCAGCACCCTGCAGCCAGAGCCGCGAATACACTGGGCTCAGCCCTCGGGCACCTCGGAGATCAGGGCAGAGACCTCGGACTTGACTCTGTCTGCGGGAAGCCGATGCCAGGAGCGGAGGCCGGGCGTGGTGCCCTCGCGGCAGCCTGTGCTGGGGAGGAGCCGCGCTGCAGCGTCTGTGCCAGGTGGAGTCTGCGAAGGGCTGATGGCTTCCTGCCCAGCTCTATCACAGCGCGGTTCGGCCAATGGGCGGCGGCAGCGTGACCCGAGGGCAGGTCATTGCCGCCAGGATGGGACAGCGTCTCCTAGCCCAGGGGAAAGCGCTGCTCATGGACGCTGCTACGTGAGAGCTCAGCGGCCGCGGGGAATCCAGGAGCTCCCCAGACTGCAGCCTAAATTGTGGGCAAGCGCCGTCAGCCACCGGAGACTGCGCTACTGTGACGAACTGGGACTGTTCTTGCTGGGGTGTG